TAGCTATTATTTGAAGTAAGTAGCTAGATTTTATACATAATAACTATTTTGGTATGCAAACGTATGTTTATATTCATGCTAGAAAAAGGATCAAGCCTAATAGTACTTTCTTGGAATCCCAGTTGCTCAGGAGGCTGAGATAGGAGGGCACAGTTCCATGCCTACCTGGGCTACAGAGTCAGTTCAAGGCCAACCTGGGTGAAATAGGACCTAGAAACAGAGCAGGGAATATGGTCTGTGATTGGGTACTTGCCTGGGATGCATAGAGGCCCTGTCTTCATTCACAATACCACACATACAAGGAAAAGAAAGGTGAGCTAAGAACTGATGAGATGGGCCAGCAGGCAGACACCTGTGGTCCAGTCTGACAACCTGAGTCCAATCCCTGCAACCCCCAGAGTAGCAGAAAAGAGCTGACACCTGCAATTGTTCTCTGGCCTCCATTTGCACCTTGAAGCATGCAGATACATACATGTATGTGCACACACACACACACACACACACACTAAATGTAAAATTGAAAACAAAAACAAAAGCCACCCAAAATAAGTTAACAAAATTTTGATATCTCATGTTCTCCTCCCTCCATCCTTCTCCCCTCCCTACTCTCCTTCTAACCTCCACCCCACACTCTCAGTTTACTCAGAAGATCTGGTCTATTGTCCCTTTCCATGTGAGGACTCACCCTCTCTGATGAGTGAATGGGCGGTGGGGTGGGGGAAGGTGGAGGGAGCAGAAGGAGGGGAGTGAGAAGAAACTGGGTTTGGTATGTAAAACATAATAGACCATTTTTAAAAAACAAAATGAAAAATGAAAAAAATGATTTTGATAACTCAAAGAGTTCTGTACGATGTAATAATATTTTTTATTGCCAGTATTATAAAGTATAGTCAACTCCAAGTCTGACCTGCAGACTTGATGCTTGTGACCACAGTCATTACAGTTTCCGGATTGGTCACGGCCATTCTTGTCAGGTATTTACTGTGGCAACAGAAATGTGAGACTACAGGGACTGTGTGTGCATGTGTGCGTGTGTGTGTGTGTGTGTAACTGTAACGGGGTGGCCACTCAGAGGCTGTTGAAGAATCAAGTAGCTTACTGGTGTTCTTTTAAGTGTCTAGCGAAGCCTTTTATGATATACTTTTTCTTTTTCTTCTTTTGTGAATTCTCTGAGTCATTTCTTTCTTTCTTTTAACAATTCCTTGACAACCTTTTTAGCTCTTTATATATTCTGGATATTAAACCTCTGCCAGATGTATAGATGGCAAAGATTCTCTCCCATTCTGCACCAGGACGTTTACTGGAAAATGCCCTTCAGGATGCTCACGTAGGTGGCGGCTCTAAGGAACAGCAGTCCAAGAGTCTTGGAAAATGAACATGCAAGGAGCAAGAAGGGACCCAAGAGCTCAGAGCTCGAGAAGCTGCCTGGGCTGGAGGAGGTGACTCCAGCCGCTGGAATGATGAAGTGTGAGCCACTAAATGGAGGGAAACTCAGAGGACAGGGCCATCCATCACTGCCAAGCTTATCTTCTGACGGAGTGGGATTCCAGCTTCCAGATGTTGCATTAAAACCTAATGCTCCCCCTGGGACTCGCATGGCAGGCTTCCCCGAAGCCTCGGTTTCACTCAGCTAACTAATTATGAGAAAATGTGACATCGGTATTTCACTTTTTCTCCTGGGACAAATCATTCCCAGCAGGAGGGAGAAGTTGTTATTTTTTATTCAGTTTTCCTTTGTCATTAAAAAGAAATTACTTACACAGCAGTAAATAAACTCTTGTTAGGCAGAAGGAACTTTCCTCCCCTCTCAAAAATTCAGTCAATTTACCTTAATGCTGACAATCATTTCTTTGTTTTCCCAGCAATGTGCTGAAGTTTTTTTTTAAAAAAAGCAAAGTTTGGATATTGAATCTGGGTTTAAATTAACTCTACCACTTAGTAGCCGTTATTTAAAGACTTGTTTCCCTGGCTATAAAGTTAGGATGACGCATGCCCTGTAGGCTGTTACCTATTAACAATGAAACAGGATAATGCGGTTTAAGTTCTGAGTAAGTGCTCAATACATTTTATCTCCTCTTCTCAAAGACCCTAATGCTGTGTTATGAACATAAAAAATAACGTATGTGCTATCTGTGCCTGGTGTCAGCAATCTTATATGAGCACTCACCCAATTCTGAACCCATTCATTCCTTGGGGACTACAAAGCAAATTATGTATTAAGCGTTTTGTTCTTTCTTAGACTGATGTAAAAATAAAGGTTTCTAGTGAAAAGTTGATGTTTATAGAGAAAGTCAAAAGAGGCAGATTTATCTTTGACGGCCATTATATTTTTAAGCTTTTCTTGGTTTCTTTCTCTTTTTTTTTTTTGACAAGAAAACTCATTATATTTCCTGTGTTGGCCCCCACATAGTAACTTTCCTGCCTCTGTCTCCTGAGTAGATGGGGTTGTGTGCACACGCCAACACACCTAACCTCCATGCTATGTGGAGCAGACATCAGCCAGTCTACATCTCCTCTCACACTGCCTGCACGGAAGAACATAACAACACAGTGTTTGAGTGCCTGTAACACACTGGAGGGTCATTTCTGCAGAAGACACGTAGATCAGCTACGAAGAGCCCCAATGCACAGACAAACAGAATCAGACAGAAAGGGTGGTGATCTCTGAAGAGAATCTGAAAGATGGGAAGCAGCAGAGCTAGCGGACTTTCTAAGTTAGATTTCTCCAAGAATGAATTTTGTTTCAGAAATAGCTGAAGGGAGCAGCTGGTACTGAAGAAAATGGGATTGCGGGTGGAAAGGGAACAAAAGAGAGCACTGAGAGGCACAGGCTTTTATAGTCTGGCTTCATAATCCATTTGCCAATGTGTCTCAGTCCTTTTAGAATAAACTGGAAAAACCTGATTCACCTCTTAGGGGTGCATCGCAATGTCATTCCAGAGTGGCGGTGTGGCACTGATGCTTTATGACAGCCACAGAAAATATTAATTCCTAAAATATATAAAGGTAAGGAAACATACAGTGTGTGCTAGATAGAAAATCATAGTGATAAAGAAACGTAAAATATTCCCTAAGCATGCACAGACTAGTCGATGATAAACAATTAGGCAGCATAGGTAAATCAGCACGCATGTTTCAACTGTTTTTAGAAGGTGCAGGAGACTAAGAGGCATAAGTATATAACGCGTTTTTGAATTCACCAAAATATAATACTCATATAAATTTGCATAATAGTCCCTCAACTAATCACATTTAATCGTTGTTAAAATACCAAGAGCAAGTTGTCTAGGCAGGGACCACCTTCCAGGTCTTCAAAGGTGCTGACATATGCTTTGAGACCCCTCCTAATCCCTAAAAATGTCCTAGTGGATTGCAGAACTTTAACTTAGAATCCTCCGCCCCCCTGTGAATAGAGGATGTACTCTTACAGACAAGAAGACAAAAGCAACCAGAGGTTATTAAGGGTAAAAATAGCCCAAAATAAAGGCAAACACACATTTCTAATTTATCATTTGGACATGGAAGCTGAAAGACTTATAAATATACAATCAAAATCCTATTCATACCAGCAACAATCAGCAAAATAGCATGCAATAACGGTTTACCATTAGGTGGTTGATTACCTAATTCGGACTTAATGGGCCTCAAGCATAATTTTCCCTACAGTTCCTCAGAGAACATGACACAACATTGTTCCAATATTAGGACAGATTTTATAAGGTAGCAGCAGGAGAGGTGTCCTGAAACTCTCTCTCCATTTCCTTAATTCATTCACTTAATAAATACATTTTTAAATGTTTTCTTTTTGTTGGATACGATATCAAAGAAATTCAGTCTGAAGAGCCAGCTAAGAAAAGCATTAGAATCGTGTGTCACGCTTAGGAAGACATATGTCACAGTCGGTGGATCAGAAAGCTTTCACTAAAGGTAAAATAAAAGTGAGTAGAAACCATGTATGTGACAGAAAGGAAGAGCCATTTCCTTCCAGGGAACAGCAAGAATGAAAGCAGGAGATGCAAAAAATAAATAATTTTTTTTTAAATAAAAGGCAGGGGATCCAGAAACTGGATAGAGTCATATGCCTGGAATGCAGGTTATCGACAGGGGAATGGGAAAAGATGGAGGCTAAAACAGTAGCAGTAGAGGGAGATGAAGATTCCATCCTTAGAGCCTACCAGACCTTGGTAAAATACAATATCAAAAAGCCAACCACAATATTTGATCTGTTGCAAAATGCCTAGCCTATATGTGAAGGATGCTATGTACACTCAGTAAACTGGAACGTGCTAATGTACAGGTGTGGGTTATGTTTATGGAATAATCTCAAAGGTCCAAGAAAGAGCCACATCAACAAGCCCTCAGCGACACCTGAATACTGATATGTGTGAAGTATCATTCTACAATACAATGAACCACTGCAGCCACCCAACAAACAATTTTGAGTGACTGTTGGAATAAGTGAGCAGAGGTTAGAGATGACATAATTAGATGTTTTGTCCTTTGAGTGAAGCGGCTGCCTCTTAAAATAAGAACAATTCACCCTGACTGAGTACCAGCTCGCTCACTGGCCAAGCAACTCCTTTTCAGACTTAGAGCACTCTCTGCCAATGGCTGTGCAGAGATGCGGCCTCACCATCTGGAAAGGACTTGGGAGATACCTCCTATAACACCTGATTTTAGAGGTGAAAAATCACATTCATAGAAAATACATGCTTACCTAAAAATTTATACATTTGTGACGGCTGAACAGAACCAGGCAGAAGATATTAAATAAAGATATTATTTCTAAAATGGTTACAACTGATTTGTAAATAATACCAAATAACAAACCCAGTTTCTGTGGATCAAGTTTTTAAAAGTGTTAGACATTTCACACTAGGAAAACTACAGAGTCAACATCTTAGAGACTTTCTTAATAATTTTCTGCTCTGACAGTGAGGAATAAGGACCAGGGACAAATTTTGACTGCATAGTTTAGGATAACAATGATATCCTCTTACCATGATCTTCTGAAGAGACTGGTGACCTAAAAAAGATAATAGAAACATGGTAAGTATTTTATGAATGATAATGATAACAGTACATAAATAATTTTACAGAAATTGCAGTGAAATTCAGTTAAGGTGCGGCCAGAGAGATGGTTCAGTGGTAAAGAGCACGTGCTATTCCTGCAGAGGACCTAGGTTTGGTACCCAGTATCCACACGGTGAATCACAGTCATCCTTAAACATAGTTCCAGATTATCTGACACCTTGTGGCCTCCATGGGTACCAGGCACACACATGACACACCCATACACACAGGCAAAACACTCAAACACATAAAATAAAAAATAACAAATAAATCTTTAAAAAAAGAGTCAGTTAAGGAGAAACTTAAGTAGGTGATGTAATGAATGTACTTGTTAAAAGGCATATTCTAGTTCATACAATTTCCATTTTATCTCAATTGGCTGAGTATTATGGGTTACTATAATGTCAGCAGCTTAGGCATGGTGGCACAGGGCTGTAACAAACATGCTTCCTCTAATATGCTGTATACTTTTCATAGCTGGCCCATCACAGTCATTAGGGTGGCAACCCATGGCAAGTGAAGATGTTGGCAAATGTAGCTAGGTAACCTATCACTGATACTCACGAGCCAAGAGAGAGCCACATTGGAGGGATGGACTAGTTGTTGAAGCAATGTTAAACAACTGGAGGACGCAGCTGCTTCCCTCGATCGACTGATGAGCACTATAACCTTTTATTATGTGAGTACACAGCAACGGGTGCACACACAGTAGTAATGGAAAGAAAATGTACACACCCATTAGTGCAAAGTGCTAACCCGCTTCAGCCTCATGGGCCTTTGCAAGTAGAATTTTGCACATGAAAGAGAGAGTCCCATGACTTGGCGGGGGGAAAAATGAGTGTTCAAGAGGCAAATAAACCAGATGAATGATGAGCAGAAATTGACAAATCACTACCCCGAGAAACAGCCAGCGTCCCCTGTTGGAGCTGATTTATGTGCCTCTTAAAGTTTCCCAGATTTTGTGCTGTCTACACACTGGTCCTTGTAGGTAATTACCTCCTGGCAATGTGGAAACACATCATACTCAGAAAAAGCAGGACTCTGCGTCCCATTTGTTGAATTGAATGGATTTCAGTACCATCAGGCTGACGTTCAGAATCCGGTACATTTTAAGGCTTTTCAAACATGATCGATCCTATTACCTTCAACTGATCTTAAGAACTGTTGGCTTCAGAGCTACCTAGGAGAAAGGGAGCTTTGGAATGAGCATTCTCAAAGCCAAAAGATGCCCAAGACATCCAACAATAGGGATACCCATATCTAGTTTAGTAGGGGAAAAATAAGTGGGGGTGTGATAAACAGAAGGTAAAATGGAATTAAAAGATGATTATAAAGCACATATATTAGAAATAATATGCACTAATAAAGTTGCATGGGGCATGAGAAGTGAGTGAGCAACAAAGGAACATCTTCACTTCTGATTTTGTTTATGAAAACTAAGCATAAATGTATTTACAATTAATTTCTGATAGAGAATGAGAACAAAGAGAAATCCATGCCCATGGCCTCCTGCATGTCCCAGGTGGGAGCCCCCGAGGCACAGTCTTTCCTGCCTTCCTGCAGAGCATTTAATACTAAATTTGAAAAAGTCCAGATGGCTCCATCAAAGTCCCACAGGGATGCATTCTAAAGTACGTCCAGGCGGCGAGGACGAACTATCCGTCTCAGAGTGTTTTGCAAGGATTAGTCATGTCGAATTTCTGTGGCTGAACGTCTCCCACACCCCAGGACTTGCAGAATCTGAAGACATATGGACTATTTCAACCCTCACCCGGCATTTCACCTTTCAGTGCAAACATCAGTAGATTATCCTTCAGAGACAGGCACGCCATCCGTTTAGGCTGGAAATGGGCATACAAGGTTTCACGGAACTCAGCTCAGGAAAGAAGAAACATCCCGCAATGAGCGAGATATGTGGTTATTTTTAGCCTAGAGGCTGAATCCCAAGGAAGGATTGTCTTTCTGACAGCCTGATAGCTGAGACACACAGGAACCCTCTCTCCTCACTCTCCCACCATGCTGGAGAGCCATGGGCCTGAACTTGCTCAATTTCCATCCATGTACATAGTCTCAGATCTAGAAGCTGCCTCACGATGTGAACTGTTACCAACACTTACTAACTCAGTGATGTAGATTCCCTCTCCATATTTTCCTAATCACTAGTAGTTATGATGATCTATAGAACATATATGGTTGGCTGTGTTTTATTGCTTGCTTGGCACTATTTACATTCTTATTCCATTCCAATTCAGAGAATTGGAAAAAAAAGACTACAGCAAAACCAAACTAAGAAGTCAAAGACTATGCTTAAAATTCATTATTCTGTTTCTTTAAACCTAAATTGTTATCATTTATGCTAAAGTCTTTAATATGCATCGATGTAACAAGTGAGTCATGTCCCCAAATGTTTGTCCCTCATGAAGTCATGAAGAAACAAAGGACAGTATTGGAAAGGTCATAATCTAGTGAAGAATAAAAAACTTGCTCATAACATAGTGCCATAATACAGAAAAATAAATGCTTATACCATAGTGAAAAGTATAACAATAAAAGAAAATGCAAGGAGTAAAAGGTTAACAATGCAGAGAGTCACGGCCCTACGAATGAAACAAACTCAGGTCAAAAGCATCTTGACCCAGCTTTAGGGAACCAATGAGAGCTCATTAAGTAAGTGAGAAAAAAATTCTAGACAGAAGCGATAGGTACATAAAACAGGCAGAACTGAAATCTCATAGACACTATCAGAAACATAAATAACTCAGTACTGCTGAAATGTACAGAAACGGCAAACCCATGGCTGGGGGAGTTAGGGCCATTCCATATGGAGCCCATAAATCTATTTTCAACTGTCTGGAATTGACTTTCCAAAATAAATACCAAAAAAAAAATAATGTTTGAAAGTCACATGCTCTGGTTTCTATTTCTGACTGACCTAAGGAGAACAGAGAGGAGATAAACTCAGGGGTTACTGTTTCACTCCCACTTCAGGAACGAGGGGTAAAAGTGTCTGTTTTTTGATTCTCTTCGAAATCCATGAAAAATAATGAGGAAGATAGAAACCAATAAAAACATCTTTTAGTAATCTAGATGTTTACAAGTTAAAGCACCACACGTGAAGAAGAGTCACCGAATAGAGGAAAAGCTGGACTACATTTCAGGAGGACAGTCATGATTATAATAAGCTGTAAACACACTCAGCAACATCGTATACTGCAAAGCCAGGGCAGAGAGCCCCGCTCTGAGCTGAGATGGTCTGCTCCAGAAGAGAGTGCTGATCCAAAAGCATCTGGAAACGAACAACCCAAAGTCAATCATCCTGCAGTGATCTACCCCAAGCCAGAGTTCTGGAAAGAATTTACCCAGTGAAAATATCATAAGTAATCAAAAAGCCACCACAGACCCACAAAAAATCCAAATGCCAAGAGGAACATACAGAAGAGATGAGGACATGAAGTTATGAATGGTTATTCAATCTGCATGACATCAAAATGGAAAAAGTGAAGAGAGCGGCGAGGTGGGAGGGAAATAGAGCCATTTGAGAATTGCAGAAAGGAATGTAATGACCAGGAAACCCATGCGGACAGAAAAGAGCAAGGTTTACCTTGCCTTTAACTAGTGCATTAGAGAGAGAGAAAAGTCTACCTGTTGCTATGGTAAAGAGAAAAGTAACATAAGAGGTAAACAATATAAAATGTCAAAACATAAAACACTTTTAAAAGTGTTCCACTATTTTATTGGTAATTTTTTATTTTTATTTATACTTAAATTAGTGCAGACATAAGGATCCCAAAATAAAAGATGTTTGGATTCTTTTTTGTTTGCTTGTTTGTTTGTTTGTTTGTTTTGAGACAGGGTGCTTTGGAGCTTGTCCTGGAATGCACTCTGTAGACTAAGCTGGCCTCGAACTCACTGAGATCTGCCTGTCTCTTCCTCCCGAGAGCTGGGATTAAAGTAAAAAGTAAAAATGCATTGAAGGCACTTTTAGGCAATATCTCAAGATGTCTTGGGGGCTGAGTTTATTCTCTAGAAAAGGGGGATTTCTACAGAAAAGCGTGACTATGCAAAATTAATAGAAGAAAGTGAAGAATGCACAACACATAGAAAGGCATGCCATACTCATGGCAATACAAGATGAGCTAGTTATTAAATACAAAAACAAAGTCATCTTTACATATATTGTAAACACTATCTTATAATTAATATAGCATCAAAAAGGATCTCAGGAAAGCAAGGCAATCTTGAGCAAAATGAACAAATCTGGAGGCATCACACTGCCAGACTTTAAAATATACTACTCTCTCCTTGACATGGCTGCATAACAAGACTGGACCAATAGCAATACCAATAGACATGCTATCTCTTCTAGCTGCTGGATTTGGTTCCTGTTCCCTGTTCATGCAGAGCGCTGTGATCTGCGAGTCTCTAAATGAATAACCCTTTATTATACTCCATTCTGAGCTAGTATGGGATTTCTGTTTAGCACCCACCTTCAGTTATTTAACACAAACTGCTCTGCCTTGAAACCATATACACACAAACAATAAAAATAAACAAGTTGTATTTATATATTTGTTCATATATACACATATACGTGTAACAATAGTAATAAAAAAGAAGCTATCCATTTGACATGAAGGGAGGGACTGGGAGGTGTTGAAGGGAGGAAAAGGATAGGGTTAAGTGATATAATTTACTTTAATTTAAATGTATAAGAATAAATTTAAGGAGAAAAAACTCCTTACAAAGATAGAGTAACCAAAACAGCATGTAATCTCTACATAAACAGATAGACAAACCCAGAAATGGAACAGAATAAGAATAAAGATCATAAGTAAAGACACATAGTTCACCTCACTGGTTTACTACAAAGGCACCAAGAACACCCAATAAGAAAATGAGCCTTCAGCAAGTGACTCTGGGAGAACCAGAAATCTGCATGCAAAAGAATGAAAT